TATGTCCTGATTCGGTGCTCTATCATGCCCTCGCAAGCGCAGGGGTCCAGGAAGGACACTAAGCTTGGACCGATGTAGAAGAAACTTCTTTCGAGCTAGTGGTTTAGTAAGGGAGTCCGCGAGCTGGTCATTTGTGTGAACATGGGACACGCGAAGCAACTTGCGAGAGACTTGATCACGGACGAAGTGAAAGTCAATAGCAATGTGCTTCATACGGGAGTGGAACACGGGATTGGAGCATAGATAAGTGGCTCCAACGTTGTCACAGTAAATTGTTGGAGAGGTGGGAAGTGAGATTGTGAGTTCACGGAGAAGATTGGTGATCCAATTCACTTCGGCAGTAGCGGTAGCAATGGCACGGTATTTAGCTTCAGTGGATGACCGAGCAAATGGTAGATTGTTTCTTAGAGCTCCAGCTAATAGGATTGGAGCCCAAAAAGACAACATAGGCAGATGTAGAGTGATGAGTATCAGCGTCCCCAGCCCAATCGGCGTCTGCAAATGCATGAAGAGCAAGAGGAGATTGAGCTTAAAGGAAGAGACCATAATGGGATGTGCCCTTTAGATAACGGAGAACACGTTTAACAGCAAGCCAGTGAGTGGAGGTTGGTCGATGCATAAATTGAGCTAGCTTATTAACAACATAACTGACATCTGGTCTTGTAAGAGAGAGATATTGAAGCGAGCCAAGCACTTGACGATATTGAGTTGGATCATGACTAGAAGAACCATCATCAAGCTTGAGCGTCTCAGAAGGAGATAATGGTGTACTAAATTCCTTTGCCTCATGCATATTAGTTCGCTGAAGAAGATCCAGAATATACTTTCTTTGGGATAAGAAGAGGCCATTGGAAGTCCGTGTGGTTTCAATCCCCAAGAAATAGTTGAGCTTGCCGAGATTCTTAAGAGAAAACCTGGTGGAGAGCTGGGTAGTGAATGTGGAAAGAGTGGAATGATCATTTCCGGTGAGGATAATATCATCCACATATACAAGCAGGTACATGATGTGGGTTCCCGAGGTATAGATGAACAAAGAGGCATCACTCTGAGAGTTGAGAAAACCATAGGCTAGGAGAAATGATCGAAGTTCAGTGTACCATGCTCGGGGAGCTTGACGGAGACCTTAGATAGCTTTGTGTAGTTTACAAACATGAGAGGGATATTGAAAGTCAACAAAGCCTTGAGGTTGTTGCATGTAAACACAATCAGATAGAGTTCCCTGCAGGAAGGCATTATTAACATCCAGTTGATTCAAAACCCAACCATTAGTCACAGCAATGGTAAGAACAAGACGAATGGTAGCAGATTTGACAACCGGGCTGAAAGTTTCAGTGAAGTCAATACCAGGTCGTTGATGAAAACCCTTAGCCACAAGACGAGCTTTATAATGAGCTATAGTGCCATCCGGGTTTGTTTTGATCTTATAAACCCACTTACAGCCGATAATGTTTTGTGTGGGGGATGAAGGTACAAGGGACCATGTTTTATTCTTTTGAAGAGCAAGAAACTCATCTGTCATGGCGTCATGCCAATGAGAATGCTTGTTGGCTTGGGTAAATGATGTAGGTTCCATTTGTGAGAGAGATAAAGAGGTAGTCGCCTGAAGTGAGAAGGGTATTTTAGGTTTGTAAATGTTGTTTTGGGCATGAGTGACTACGCGAGATGGTTGGACAGGTAAAGGCGAATGGGAGGAACCATGGGTGGTGGACTGGGTAGATTGGTTGATATCGTGACGTCGTGTAGAGGGAACTGTGTTAGAGAGGTTTGGTGAGGTAGGACTGGTGGTGCTGAGGTGTGGTATAGGGGACACTTCATCAATAGGTTTGAGAGAACGTTTTACCTGTGATGGAGAGCTTCGAGAGGCAGGCTGAGGAGAGACAGGAGTGGAGGTAACTTGTTGAGTGATAGAGGGACACCGAGTGGAGGATGTAGGAATTAAATGTGGTGGAGAGGAGGGTGAGACAATTGAATCAGAAGAGTCATCAGTTGGTGCTTGGAAGTTATCCAAATGTTTTCCTGTAAAGACGGAGAGAAATTTGGAGAAGGTTTGGTGCGAAAGACAAACATCAGGATGTGATGTAGTTTTGTAGGGAAAGATGTGCTCGAAGAAGACCACATGCCTAGAGATAAATAGGCGATTAGAGTGAATATCAAAACAAAGAAATGAATGATGATGAATTGAAAAACCGAGATACACGCATGGTCGGGAGCGGGATTCGAGTTTATGGGTATTGTATGGTCGAAGCCATGGATAGCATAGGCAACCAAAGACTCGAAGGGAAGTGTATTTGGGTTTGTGGCCAAATAACTTGTGGTACGGTGTATCATGGTGGAGAACGGGAGTGGACATGCGATTAATAAGGTAAATGGCGGTTTGGAAGGCATATGACCAAAAGCGGAGAGGTATGGCAGCATTGTGGAGAAGTGTCAAGCCGGTTTCTACGATATGGCGATGTTTGCGTTCAGCCGAGCCAACATGTTCAGGTGTATAAGGTGGTGATGTGAGGTGCTGGATACCGTGTTGGGATAGAAGGTGAGAAAGTGCTTTGTACTCACCACCACCATCTGTGTACACGGTTTTAATTTTAGTATGAAAGTAATTTTCAATTAGCTTTCTAAATTTATCAAAGACAGGAACTACATCAGATTTTAGCTTTAGAGGATACAATCACGTGTACTTTGTGAAATAATCAATAAAGACAACATAATATCTAAAATTTCCAAAAGAGGACACAGGGGCAGGGCCCCAAACATCAGAATAAACAACTTGAAATGGTTTATCACAACTGATAGAAGAGTTTTTAAATGGTAGTTTATGACTTTTGTTGCAAAGACAAGAGTCACATACTTTATTTGTAGACAAATCTGAAATGGGAATTTTATTACTAGCAAGTACTCTCTTCTGGATTGGAGGAGAGGGATGACCAAGACGTTGATGCCATAGTTGAGAGGAGAGGGCAACGGAAGTGGAAGGAGTGAGGGTTGATTGTTCTGTAGGTGAAGTTGAGGATGACCACTCATACAAGTTGTGCCTACTCCGGCCTTTCGCCAAGGATGCCCCCGTATTCAAATCCTTCACAAGAAAGTAGTCAGGAAAAAATTCAATAGAAGTCTTATTTTGTTTGCAAAATTGGGAGACAGATATAAGGTTCTTTGTTATCAAGGGTGCACACAAAACATTATCTAGTGTAAATGAGGTAATAGGGGAATCAATTGAAGAGGAACCAACATGAGAGATAGAGATTCCTTTACCGTTACCGACTACAACATCCTCGTTACCAACATAATCTGAGTGCATGGAGAGATTCTGGAGGTTAGAGGTAATATGATGTGTAGCGCCCGAGTCAAGTATCCAGTTGTTGTTGGTGTGGCTTGATGGTCTTTCAGTCAGATTTGCTTGAGGTCTAGAGAAGTGGGAAGATGTCTGTCCAGTGGAGCGACAAGTCTTTGCACTATGTCCTGGTTTATCACATAGTTGACAAACAATGTGAGGCTGGCCTCGATTTCTCTGATGCTGATTTGAGGTCCATGGCTGGGAGTATGAAGGAAAATTCGAACGGTTTATACCTCTGCCATAAGAGGGCTGCTGCCGATTGAATTGCAGGTGGTGAGACTGAGAATTTTGTCCACTTATGTTGCTGTCAAAACGGTGTGTAGTGTTATTATAGCCACTTCTATGTCCTCCTCGACCACCACGACCTCTATAAATGGACCGTTTTTGAGTCAGTTGTGCAGTAACTTGTACTTCGTCTTCATGTGGCACTCCCTGATTACTTATCAATTCCTCATCAAGTAATTTATCATAGAGGTCCTCAAAAGAGATAGGAGTATCGCGGACTCGAACTGCTGCTGTCAATTCTTTAAACTCATCACCCAAGCCATTTAAGGTGTAGGATATGATTTGAGCATCATTTAGAGGGTGCCCGATGAGTGCTAGTTCGTCCACAAGGCCTTTAACGTTGCTCATGTAGGTAGCAACAGTTTTTCCTTCCTTCTTGTTTGACATAAGGGACGACATAATAGAAAGCATCCGGGTATTTGAACTATTAGCATAACTGGTTTCTAATTTATTCCAGGCATCAGCAGATGTGGTGCAATTGTTTATCATTGGGCAGATTGCACTATTAACAGTTGCCTGAATGCCAAGCAGAACAAGACGATCCTGACGAGTCCAGAGGGAATATCCAGGGTCAGTTTTTGTTGGACATGGATGAGTCCCATCAGCGAAACCAAGAAGTCCATAACCAAACAGGAGATTTGTCATTTGGGACTTCCAAGATGCATAATTTCCGCCATTCTTTGCAAGCTTGAATGGAATCTGAGAAGAGGCATTAAGAGATATCAGATTTCCATTGGTAGGGAGAAGATTACTTTGAGCCGTGGTGTTAATAGGTGTTGAGGCAGCCACTGGTTCAGGGACAGTTGCTGAAGCTGTTGATGCTGCACAT